GTTTTTTTTTTGCATCTGCAAACAGGGCTTGGCAAAATTAATAAAAAAACAATGCAGTTCTTAAAAAAAAAGATATGCATAAGTGAACTCCGACGAAGCAGAAGCACTACCGCTGAAAGGCAGGTGCAAGGTAAAACACAATCACGGTTGAGACACCAAGGCGTCCTTGGCTAACCTCGCGTCAGGTCCGATAATTTACGAGATTCAAAACGTGAATGGAGCCTCTCGTGCTTGTTTCCTGCACTCATCTCACCCAGTTAGTCTACCAGCCGTGCCTGGTATGGGGTCCTGGGTTATAGTAGATGATAGGAAAGAACGTACGGCAAAAACTTGGGTGTAGACGACAGTAGCCTAACGTAAGTTTATGGACTATCACTGTGTTCCCTCTACACTAGGTATATCAGAAAAATTTTCAAACTGATCAGAAAATTAAAATACTTATATCATCTGAAAGGTAATGCAAAAACCGGATGAAATCATTTGGAATTTTTTAAATATTCCTACAAGCAACAAAGATATTGAAGTTTTTAAACTGCAAAAATCCACCAAAAGTGTCCACACTTCTCAGCTCAAAACCTGTGCCCACTGACCAGCAGTGATCACTCAGGCGCAGCAGAGCACCCTGTGTGTCTTTGTGTGCTCAGCCTATTGTCTGGCTCACATAGCCTGTGACTAATCAGGGCAGAGCTATTTCCCTGTGGTAATTTTCACATCATGTAATATTGCGGATTAAATTAACTATACTTCGCAACCTTCAAATTTCATGATTTTTCTACATAATATAGCAAATTTCATAAACTTTGCTGGATATAAATTTCAAAAAGATGATACCAGCACTTACCTGAAATTTTTTAGCATTTTGTAGAGGCAAAACTTAAAACAAGCAGAACCGAAACTTGTCAAAGACTGCAACATGGGAAAATCACGTGGCCGGATTTTACTCTTTGATTTACAACTTATTTAGTTAATGGCTTGTATTAGTTTTTTTACGCAGCGCTAAAAGAGAGATTTAAAAAAGGGGTTCCATAGGCGAACTGTCAGCAGGCCGACTTCAGTTTAACACTTAACTGCCCGTGGACAGTTACGACTGTAGCGCCCCTAGCGGATTGTGATCTACCTACTAGGGAGGAGTGTCTTACTAGTAAATGGAATAGATCTCCCTGAATCTTTGGATATCAATTGGTATGAGTGCTTTTAAATGAATTTGCAATACACAGGGCACTCCTTAAATGTGGTCTGCATTTTCTGTGCACGGTCGCATCTTATCTAATAATTTTTATATCAAAATGAAACGTATTAAAATATTAACAGAAATCAGGCTTTGTGCATCAGTGATACAATACTCTAAAAAGCATATTTCCAAAATTGTATTGAAAAAAGCAGGAAAAAAGTTAAAAGACAAAAGAGATTTAATTGAATTTTGTATAAATACTGTTATGTTTTTGTCAAGCATTCTTGAATATAATTAATCTTAGTAACACCCATACATTGTTTTAGAGGTGGTAATGTGATTCTCTCATGAGATACTGAAGTTAAAACATTTCCATGCAATGCAGGGAAGGCACATAATGTTAGCAAAATATTAAGCTGTATCTATCCTTGCACATTAGATGTAGGACTTTTGGTGTGGACCTTTCCTAAATGTGTTGATATTACTGAAGTGCTTTGTGAAAGCATTAGCTTAAAACATAAATTATTTGTTCACTCATGCAATCCATATTGGAATGTGACCAGTGCTTAGGCTTGTGCATGTACAACCTTTATATATGAAAGATTAATGTAAATATCCTATTTGTCTGCTTGCTTTCAAATAGATTTTCTCAGGGGACGCATATGATATGATATGATATATTTTTATATTAAGTTGAGCATTCTTTGCTAGCAGAAATGACCTGCATTTGAGAATCAGCTGATTGTATTTTGAAGAGATTAAAAAAGGTGCTTATGTTGTGAAGCATGCTGCAAAGTTGATTTCACCACTTGCATACCCTCTTACCTGGTTTTATACTACCTTATCTATTGTTTTTAATTTCTTTTCATCTTTTATCTTCATTAATTTTTTTTACTAATTATGGAATTCATTGATTTTAATTTGGAGTGTATCAAATTGTTTTAAGAAAGTATTATACAATAATACAAACTGATGTTAAAACTACAAAAACAGTGTTCATTTTCTTTTTTCATCAGATACTTCATTTACCAAATAATGTAAAATATGTAACAGGCACTAGTATCTATGCTTGATTAGAACAAAGTGCTTAATTTCATTTTTTTTAAAATATGTTTTAAAATGAAAATTGCCACAGTAGTTGGTCCTATATAGAATAATATAGAAGTACAAGGAAATGATCTTGTGTATTTTCATCTTCTAGCTGGTGGTGGCCCTAGACGTGGTCGAGGCAGACAGGCACATGGTCCACAGAATCCACAGTTATTTCAAGATACCAGCACAGTACCACAACATCCCCAGGGAGGCTATGAGCAGCCACCAGGACCAGGTAATAGCTTGTCTAATTACTTGGGGAAAGAAAAAAAAACTTTGTGAAATTGTTTGATTTAATTTCTAAATTTTGAAAGAGTGGTCTGATTTAAAATGACGAATTGTACATTCCAAAAGTCAAGCTCCAGTTCACAATACAACAATTGTACACTTTTTTTTCGAATTACAATATTTTGAATTTTTCAGTTTGACCTGAAATAATTTTGAGAGATTTGAGTGATTGACACTGAGGACTCGTGACAAGTTAATCTTTTTGTTTATTACCTGGAAACTTTTTCTTGAGTTAACCTAGTCTGACCTTGCCATAATGGTGATATTTTGATTGTTGAAGGAAGTGGCATCTGGTTTGAATGAATAATATATTTGCTTTATAGATACCACATCTGTCAATTCGGAAAATGAAGGTAGTTTCACTGCATTGTCCAAACTGATAACATTAAGCATGGTGCCTGTTTGCTTGAAGTTTGGAACTTAAATGCTTAGAACTTTAGAGTATTTTATATTTTACCGTGTAAAAAAATAAGTGCTTTTAGGCAGGATTCCTGCTGGGTGTCCTGTGCAGATATTGGAGGCCAAGGTTTTGTGGTATTTACCATTGAGCTTTATCTAGATGCTGGATAATTTGAGGGAAAATGAATATTTTTAAATATGATTTTACTTCTTAAACTAACTAAAAATTTACAAAAGGTTTCTTTCTCTGTGAAAAAAAATTATGCTATGTGACTAAAAGGGCTTTTTTAACAGAAGGTTTAAATTGAAAAGCAGGGACAGAAATTAAATGGAGTTTAAAAGTTATTGGATTATTACTTAGATTTCATTTGGGCCATACTTGCAATGTACTGTGAAGATTTTAACATGTTTAATTGGATATCACAAGATGTTTGTAAACATTTTTGGTAAAGCAGAATATAAATGTTTCATTGTTATGACTAAAATTTAAAGTAGCATAGATTTAAAGCTTATGTTTGGAGTTGTAGCATATCCAGTAAATTAAGTCAATTTATTTCCTTTTAACTCAAAATTTGTACTGTAGTATAATCATTTGAAAATCTATTTATAAGGCTATGGCCCGCCTCCCCAACAGTATGCAGGAGGCTATGGTTCTCCCCCAGCACCAGGTTACTCTGGCAGTCCAGAACAACATTATATGGGACAACAGCTGTTCCAGGATCCTATGGCAGGCATGGCCATGCAGTATGGAACATCCTTAGCTGGACAAGGCAAAGATTTGGTGCAAAAAAATGTAAGTATTTTTATCCTATGTATATATCACAGGGCAGATCACTCCTACCAGCTAATGAACATTATTGGAAAAGATATCTATTTGTTGGGGCAAGCGCTTCACCTTAGTTTAATGTTTACAAACTAGAAAAGCACCCAGAGAGATTGGCAGCCTCTGCCAAGTCAGCTCAATTCTCATTATATATATCTTTTTTGTCTTACAGATTGAAAAGTATGTTTCAACTTCAAAAGTGAAGGATTACTTTGATGTGGACACTGTTTATGTATGCAAGAAATTAGGACTTCTTGTTTTTCCATTTACTCATACAGTAAGTTACCAAATACTTTTCAAGTTAGATATTAAGACTAGATTAGTTTTTAGTGACATTTTACATTATTTTTGACCCAATGGCCAAATTTGAATGAAAAGAAGACAAGTGTATCCGTGGACTGGATTTTCTTTGTTGAAACTAATCGGAGTAGCTGTGTATTTGAGTATTTGCAGAGCAGTTGTGATGAATGTAGTAATTTGCAGTTTTTGAAATGAAATGCAAATGTTATTTAAATGTTATCTTTATTTTAATTTAAACCAGGAATGGTCTGTACGGTACCAAGAACCTGTTACCCCAAGAATGGATATCAATGTGCCAGATTTATACATACCAGGTGAGATGAATGTATATTATTAAAGCTTTCTAAATATATTTTAAGTTTGTGTAAGAGGTATGATTCGTTTTAATAACAAATACAATTATTTAGGAGAAAAAGGGAGAGACAGAAAATGAGAGTTTATGTTAAATTTTAACATGCTTGCATCTTGTAAATTCAGATAATGTATATTATGTTTCATTTTCAGTTATGGCTTTTGTAACATATATTTTAACAGCCGGGGTGGCATTGGGAATTCAAAATAGGTAAGACAAATTTCAAGTTATTAAAGGCATACTGTTCCTGTAAATGAGAGAAAATTTTTGTGATTATATTTTACCTATTATTTAATAATAATAATAATAATAAATGGTTTCTTAAAAACCTTACTTCTAATTAATCTGAGTGCTGTGTATATTTATTTTTGCAAAAGTCTTTTTGATACTTAGCTATATAATTACTGTCGTTATTTTCAGATTTACACCAGAACAACTTGGCATCCAGTCCAGTTCAGCACTTGTGTGGTTGATAATTGAGATGCTGGTCATATGNAAAAACTTGCTTCTAATTAATCTGAGTGCTGTGTATATTTATTTTTGCAAAAGTCTTTTTGATACTTGGGTATATAATTACTGTTGTTATTTTCAGATTTACACCAGAACAACTTGGCATCCAGTCCAGTTCAGCACTTGTGTGGTTGATAATTGAGATGCTGGTCATATGGTTAAGCCTGTATATAACCAATGTACAGTCAGATATTAAATACTTGGATTTGGTGGCTTTTTGTGGATACAAATATGTGGGGTAATGTATAACTTTAATATCAGTTTCTGTCAGATATTAAAAATGGAATAGTACTCTGTAATAGGTCCAAAGAAATATTTATCGCAATTTAATGAAATTTAATGCCTATCAATAACTACAAAAGTGTTCACTGCATTTCTTCATTTGGAAACTTGAGCACAGGATGCTATATTTTGTTCCACATGCCACATTCTGCATTCACTGGCATAAATAGAATTTTACTGAAGGGGGAGTGCAGTATGCTCAGGGATTGAAAGTGAAACTTCCCTGTTAGTTTTTGTGCATGATAACTTTTTTTATGTGACATCTAATGATCACAATATCAAATTTTCAGCATGATTCTAAGCCTAGTGGCAGGCTTGATATTCCACTCAGGGGGATATTATTTTGCTTTACTATGGAGCAGCCTCACACTTGCTTTCTTCTTGGTAAGTCAAATTTTTATATGATTGTTTTAAGAGGTTGTATTAAAATCATTCATCCCTCATATTTTCCAGTGTATTGCACATTTCATGTTACAAAAGAGTTTTCTTGTTTTTTAATTCCATTAGTGAAAACCCCCCCAATGCAAGATTCAAAAAAGAGCAAAAAAGTCTGATGCATATTTTCTTCAGTTTGTAATGTTCTAGCTTCAAAAGATTTTTTCAGACATGGGTTTTTAAACATATGTTTTTAACTTGTATATTTAGGTGCGGACATTAAAAATGAAAATTCTTGCACAGCCAGATGGTTATTCCCAAGGATCAGGATCAAAATCTGCATTATATATGCTGGTCTTCATAGCCCTGGTTCAGCCACTGTTTATGTGGTGGCTGACTAGTCATATTATGTTTGTCAAAGCTCCCATTGTCAATTTGTCTGGTGGACCTTACTGAAGTGGTGGAATCAATTGGAGACCTTATGATGTTTTATTGAAGTTAAACAGACTGTCTTTCTGTTTTGGGAAATAATTTTCCTCAAATATGCTTTGATACCAACTATGCTGGTTAGCATCATTATTAGAATTATGCAATGCTGTTATTCATATATCAAAGTATTGTAAAAAGTGTTCAAGTATTATGACATCTTCAAACGTTTAAGAGAATAGTTAGATATTTATTAGGGCTGTCAATACATTTAGGTCACAGTAGCATTCCTTGGTATAAAAGACAACCATGCTGCTGACAAATGAAGTTGAATTGGAATTGGAAACTCATCTTAATGAAAAAATGCACTATTGGCGTGTGAAATGAAAACCAATGGGAAAATGGATTTATTATGACGAAAACTTGCTAAAATATGAGTCGAAACAAGAACTACCAGTGAAGGGCTATTTGTTCACAGAAATGTAGACTTTTAAACTTACAATGGATATTACAAACCTTGAAATTTGATCTGCAGCTTCTCTTTTTATTTGATGTTTGGTATCTACTTTTCTGATGTCAGCAAAATTTGACTTGCTGTAGATAAATTATTTTATGAAAATTATTTTCCTTTTTGTCAACATGTATGGTTTAAATTGCCAAATGAGTTTATACATTTTAGTTGTCCCTGTATTTATCACAAAGCGCATGTTCAAAAACGTATCTAAATTAAATATAATTTAATGAAACGTCTTTATTTGTTTATATATTAACGTGATCACGAGTACATGCTACGATGCGCGGGGGGAGTGCTTTAACACTGAAAGAAACATTCAGGGTCAATCTCAACGTTTTTCAAGACTGAGATTGGCACTGAAATTTAGTGCAGATAATACCCGATTTCAGTACTGCACCGAGTCTTCAATTCACAATACGATCTATGTGTAAGTTGAAGGTGACTTCGTAACGCTTGTTGGCTTGTTGGTATTCATTTATCTGCTTTATGCTCCTGGGCACTTGGGTGTTGCATGCTGTCTTCCCTTAGATCGTAACATAAACGCCGCGTTTCTATTCGTTTCACTAGTTTTATTTTTCCAAGACAAAAGTCATTATAGACAGTTGTTGTATTTTTTCAGCTGTTTGTTTGTCAAAAAAAAAAAAAAAAAAAAAAACGGTTAAATAAATATTTACTGACAAATTTTCTTATTGAAATATTTTTAAGTGAATTAAATTCTTTTCTAAAAAGTCAGAATGATGCTAGAAATATATAAATGATGGATCGACAATTGTATTCGTTTTCTTTTAAAAATTTTAAAGTAATTTACGCTAAAAAAAGTCCATTTTGTCGATGACTAAAAAAGTTATTGCGGTCAAGCTTCCAGCTTAATATCTATGATGCACCTTACACTCTCCACAGGGGATTGATAAGTGTCGGTTTCTTCTGCGGTGGTGTTCGCCGATCGTTCCTTTCTGGTTGTACACAGCAGTGTTTCCCACCCTTTGAGTGTGAATGTGACGCACTAACGTTCTGTTGGGCCTTCCTGAGGTGTATTCTGGCTTTCCTTTGACGGAACGTCGCTGGAGACGACCCTGCTCCTGCTTCTTCGCCACGTGCACGCGCTGCAGTCACCGACGAGGAGGCTTCTAGTGATGTCAAGGATGTTGAATGTCGTGATTTAGACCTATAACCTGACAAATCTACCGCGGAATCACGTCTCAAGTAAATGTGCGCATTGGCATTTGTCGAATCGTAAAGAACGGTTCCAGCCTTGTTAAGTCTACCTATAGATGGCAATGGCGTATCCATCCTTGGCCGACTGCGCTGACTAGGCACCAAGTCTTCCAGAGCCTGGGGAGGTGGAGGTCTGTTTTGCAGGGGTGGTATGGCATTGGACCGTCCACTGTGCTTCATTATGGTCGGCTGTCCCATCGATGGTATGTGTCTCACAGTATTTGCAGTTTCATTAGATTCTTTATACCGTATTTTGTCCTTGGTACTCCTCTGCTTGCTGGACTTGAGCGAGGAGTTGAGCTGACCTTCCTTTTCTTGCTCAACAAGATTGTCTTTGTGCACCCTGTGTAGAATTTGGACGTTGTTTGTATTCTGTTGTGGATGTTCAGCACTCAGTCTGTCTACCAAGGAATGGGGAATACTGGGCAGGGCCATTCCTGGCAGACGTTGGGGTATTTTTGAACAATATTTGAAATTACGAGATGTTTTCGGTTGCTTTGTTGTTCTGGTGTTTGGTATGGTTTGTTTGTCGGTACTACCGACAGTGAAAGACTGGTCAGATTTTGTCTTCAAAGAACTGAAAGATCCAGCTACATTGGTTATTTCCTGATTAACCCTATTAACTGCCTCTGTCTGTATACATGGTGTTGAGGGTGATATTGGTTTTGTCTCTATGTCTAGACTGCTTTCTGCGGAAGAAACTGCCAACCTTTGCCTTAGATAGAGAGAAGCTTCTTCATCTATGATTGGTTTATATTTTGTGTCTTCCAGGGGAATTGGATCTGTATTAACTGAAACGTCTATTGAAATCTTGACATCAGTTTCATCCCTTTGCTCTTCGTCACTTTCTGAAGATGCAGATAAAGATTCTACCGTTTGAGGTAGCTTGTCTACCGTCGGAGCTGCATATGGTGCACCGGTTTGAAGTATGTCTGAAGTAGAAGTAGCGTCTCTGGGCGGATTATTGCCTGACGGGACGTGAGATCCTGTTGCTAACAATTCTGTTGGTTCCATAGATTGGACTGGGTTGCTTGTGAGACTCAAACGATCTTCTGACTTGGTTTCATTATCCCTTGTTTCTGCACGGTCTGTCTTCAGGGATCCACTCACTGGAATACGTGTTTCTTCTTTTGCGGGAACGGTTCCTTTGTCATTTCTTCGTCCAATAGAATTATCATTTTTCTCCTCGTTGACATGGCTCTTGTTGAAATCTTCGTTGCTGCATTGCATGAAGAGGTGTTCCGCCACGGCTTTTGAGAAAACATCTTGGGCTTGTTGATTTTGAAAAACAAAACTGCCCTTTTCTGAAAGCTCTTCCGCAGAAGATTGAGACAAAAGAGAGCTTGAATTATCTGCCATCATAACTGCTGAAATGGATCCAGTCATGTCCGAAGTGGAGTTTCTGTTTTGCACTCTTTTGGTCGAAAATTCCTCACTTTGACGTTCTTTGTTCGGGTTGTCAACAATGTCAGTTGCAGTCTGGGGCATCGGCCACTGCGAAAGTTCGTCATTCATCAAATGTGAAAGGAAACGGACAACATTGACTGCTGGTCGGTACTTAGTCTCCAGGTCATGCTCCGTATTTTCTTTTTTCAAACTGCAAAAATGAACAAAGAAATTAAATCTTCTTGCGCACACCCATAAGAGGACATATATATATATATAAATAAGCTCAGGAACAAATACACATAAACAAGCGGACGTATTAATATGGTTTAAGTTATTAGTGTCCATTTGCTTTTGCCTTTTATAATTAGTAGGCTACATCGGTAAAATAGCACATCTAAACAATTTTGACACCTTATTTTATTTAAAAATAAGTGAAATTTAGCACTAGCAAATTGTCACTTTTTAAGGGAACAAAGATAAAAAAAAAAAATGAAAAGATAAAAACGCTTTATTTCCAAAAATTTTTAATAAGTACCTTATATAGCTAGCAAATGTTTCCTGTAACTGTAGTATGATTCTTTGTGTCTCAGTGAACCAACGATCTCCATCTTTGTCCGTCACTCGCTTTAAGGCACAGTCGATAAGTGACGGCCTCGAAGGGGTCTCAGGCCAAGGTTGAGCTTTTCGGACTAAGGTATGGTTGGTGTCGTTTGCAGTCTCATCGTCACCAAGAACTTTTTCACTGTCTAACATGTTTGCCTCTTTCAACTGCCGGTACCATGCTCGGCAAACTTCGATTTGTTTCGTGTCGTTAGAAGTGTGATTATCCAACAATTTCTGTAAAAAGTACAAAAGTTGACCTGAAAGTGGAGCTACGCAGAGTGATCATGTGCGAAAATGAGTACAAATACGGTAATTGGGTTCGAGTTGTGCCAGGGACGGTAAGCCACTGAGGCTTAATTTGTGTTAAAAACTAGTAATTTCTTTGAATGAAGTAGAAAAGAAGTTAATTTTGCAATGTCTTCTCACCTTCGTATCCTCCTTGCAAATGATGCACATGGAGTTGTCCAGCAAGTAGTTGAAATCATATCTGACTTTTCCGTTAAGCAAATACAATAATCTTTGGACCAAGGCTTTTAAATGTTCTTTGTCTGCCCTCTCCATTGTGAAGCTCAGCAGATAGTTGCCTGCCTGTTCTGCTCGTACATTTCGAATGTCTATTACCCTTTTTGTGCTTTTTAATTCTTTTTCCAATTCTTTTAACTTTGTGAAACATGTGGGCTCGGGCTTTGGGAGTGTCTGCGTGGTTTTATCTGACCTTTCTTTGTTAAAAACCGTTCGCTTTTCATTTTCCTCCTGTAGATGCCAAATTTCCTTCTTTAGCTGGCATATTTCATCTACACGTTTGTAATATTCAGATATTACATTATCGGTAAGCCTGCAATTTAGTTTTAAGAAAATTTAATAAAGAAATATAACGTTTAAATTTAAGGGATAAAATGCGAGTTATCGATTTTGGGTAGATCCTGAAACTCTGCATCCCTGGACCTGAAATACTAATCTCATTTGTTGAAGTTGCTTTAAAGTGTGGTAAATTTTGCCTTATTTTCTGTCAATTCAACACAACTCTCCAACTTCCAAATGAACAATGATTCTTGATTTATACGATTCATGAGATGCAGATTCTTTTATTATTGTTGTTGAAATGTTTAAATACATTTATATGTTAACAATTTATTTATTCTTTTTTGTAAAGAAATCGCCTTTATATGAAAAATAATGACCAGTAAATCAAACAAAAAACATAATATTTGAAAACTGTACGATATTTTGAGGAAAAATAGAATACTTACTCTTTATTAGCCCCTCCGTCCATTTTGTTTATAATTTTTGTCACCTGAGAGACAGTAGTGGTATATGACGTCACAATACTGGTTGCGTGTGACGTATGCCCTAAACAACGTTCCGTTATTGTGTCGCAATAAAGCAATTTAGATTCGGTGTCTGTTGCTATGTTTGTTTGTATAAATGTTTAACGCGCTAAATTGCTGTCAGTAGTTACGGTAATTATTGTTGACATTGTTTGATTGTTTAGCTCATAATGCAAATGACGCCACGTCTGTTAAAACACAGTTAATTCATTTTTTTTAAATTTAGAATATCTAGATGAAATATTCAAAAATAATTTAAAACTTACATTTTCCGTTTTAAACCTACACTAGCCGGACTTCTTATCTGTGGAGTGTCGCCTCTTAAGTAATAAATCATTAAATATATGTTAAAATAACGAATTTCTAAAGACACGACTCAAGCGCCTATAACATAACCCTAAATGATATCTTAAGTTGATGAGAAATACAAGCGAGGACTTCAATCTAATTTCATATTGACTTTCAAATGTTTGTTTCTTTGATTTTACTAGTGCTCAGAAATTAAGACATTGCTTCGATTGCATAGATTTGTAGAAAAAGGAGATTACATGCACATGTAGAATGCATAATAAAATGAAGTGAAATAATTAATTTCATTTTACTTGTACAATTTTTATATTATATTTGGCGTCTAATATTTTTTCTGTTTCCTTTTTTCTTCCTTTCTTATTATTATATTACGAAAGCAAATTTTGCAATTCCATTTTTTTGCAAGTGAAATAAATACATGTAGTCCCATCACCTTTCCATTACATCTTTAGTGGTTTTTCTTTAACCTTTATAAAAAATGCTTTTCAGATACACATTTTTGCAATTATGAATATTCATAATATTAAAAAAGAGATATTGTAGACATCATGTATTGCAATATTACATGTTAAGATGTACTTCCATTTAAAAAGTTTGTGAAATTTCTATAACTTTTTATTGCACCTAATATAAATGTTAAGATTAAGACCATTACTTATACAACTCTTTTTTATTTATATAGTGCTATATTAGCCAGACGCTATTTTGGCCATCTCGCTGGCAGTAATTGATTCTGTCGATTCAGTAAAGGTTTTTTTCCTGCTTGATTTTCGCTGTATGCTGCTCTGTCTGTCTGTCTTTCTGCCACCATTTTCTTTTGCATGTTGCCCATCTTTTTTGTGTAATTTGAGACAAGTATATCAAATGCCTACAGGACACCACCTCGAAAAAGAAAGACAGGAAGGCCCAAGACCACCTGGCGCCGAACAGTGATGGCAGAGCTGAGAGAGGGGGACCTTACATGGGGACAGGCCCAGCACGTAGCCAGAGACAGGGCCAAATGGAAAGAAGTGACTGTGGCCTTATGTCCCACACGGGACGAAGAGCATTGATGATGATGATGATATCAAATGCCACATGGTCTGATTTTCATTTTTCAAACCAATTCCGCTCTCTGAATATTCTGCTCGCTAACGGTAAAAAAATAAAGATTTATCTATCCGTCTCAGCGTTCTGGTTGAATAATATCAACACAAATACCTTTTACAGTATTTTTTACTATATCCAAACTTGTTTTCGTACCCGGTGCAGCTTAGCACTGAATCGGACAAGAGCATGGCAGAAGTAATTGCTTTTTGGCCAGCATTATCAGACCACCAACTGCTACGTACGCAGTCATCTCCACAAATAGAATCTGCGCTCACAGTATGTACACAGTTCGAGCTGGAACAGCAAGAGGATACGATGGAACTCCCAAATCTTTCCTTCATTTTGGCGACTGCGATCTTGCTTGTTCCAGTCTGGAGTCAAGAACAGATGTGTCCATCAGGCTGTCACTGTACATTTAATGACACGAGGGTGAAGGTTGTTTGCAAGTCTATGGAGGAAGATCATTTGCCTAGCTTTTCCAGTTTGGCTAACAAGCGCGTCGACAGTTTGATATTTGAAACGAGTCATTTCGATATGTTACAGGCTGGTGCATTCAGGGATTTAGATATCGGTATCATTGCTTTTGTGCGTTGCCGATTAAAAGAAGTCACTAAATATCTCTTTTCAGGCGTTAAAGGTAAGTCTTTTGCATTTTTTTACTAGAAAAACTATGAGGTCTGTCTGATGGAAAAATAACATTAAGGTTTTCTTTCGCATTCAGGGGATAACAAAACGATAGTATAGTAACGATAGTATAGTATACAATCTTTTGAAAATAATTTCGGGGCGTGCTTAGTACATAAATTCGCCATTGGTGCTAGGAGTCGAATTCCGCACGTTTACCCGCAGATGTCTTAAACATTCAAGTAAAGTACTGCCAATACCCCACGATGAATTGTACATTCCGCTGGCTGTGCAAACAGCGTTGGGAAAACAAGTAAAAAGAGCACAGCCAATTTTTGATGGATGTGAAACTTTCCCGTGAACCTGTTTAACACAAGACATGCGTTCACTGTAAGGGAAGAGCTCCTAGGGAATTTTCATAGGATTTAATTTTGGGCATTTTATCTAGACAAGTGATCAATAAATCTACAGATTGCATCGTTATCGTTACATTTATCTTCGCAAATGGTTAATGAAGTGACAGATAGCGTTGTTTATTATAATTTCTTGTAAGTTGACATTATTCCATTTCAACATTTTATCCCTCGGGGGGTGGGGGGTGCGTAAGGTGAAAAAAGGGGTTAACGCACAGAAAATAATGTTCCACAAAAAAAAAAAAAAAAAAAAAAAAAAAAAAAAAAAAANATTATAACACTTATATTTTACCAATATTTTGAATTAATGTTTAGCGTCTTTTTCCAATTTAACATATTGATTAAATTTTAATATATTTGCTCATGAATGTGCATCTATTCTATAGGAGTAACCCAAGTCGTATTCAGTGGGTGTGGCTTGAGCGTGGTTCCTGGAGAAGCCCTGAAGGTGCTAGAGCCAGGTTTGGTTCACTTGGATTTAAGAGGAAACAACATTCGAAATATATCTTCTTCAGACCTTCCCTCCGGTTTAAAATCGCTGCGACTTGATGGAAACAGTTTTCTTCGACTATCTCAGAGCAGTTTCTCAGCTGTTGGAGACTCGCTGGAAACCCTTTATTTGGATGCGATGGGGCTGGACGAAATACCAACCGATGCACTCCAACCTCTTGGAAAATTGCGCAAATTGAACATAGAGAGAAACCAGTTGACTGAAATCACTGCAGAATCTCTACGAGGTATCCGTACCTCCAGTAAAACATTGACTCTGAAGTTAGGCTTCAATCAGATCGGAAAAATCAGCGAAAGTGCTTTTGATGGACTTTTAAGTGGTAATAGTAGACTATGGATAAATGTGGGACTCATTGGTAATCGAATCAGCGATCTTAATTTTGTCGAAGGACTTGGTTGCAAACTGCGTCGTGTAAGGTTTTATCTTCCAAACAACACTCTGGAATGTGATTGTCACGTCTACAACATCACAAAAGCCATTCCTAGTTTGATATCTAGCAATACAATGTGCGCCAGACCACCTATGTTCAAGGACATGCGACTGGGACCTTGGATGCCCAAAGATACCGATGGCGTTCATTTCATCGATGGAGGTCGATCACAATGTGGAACAGGCAATGAGACAGAGTCAAAAATGTATGACTGTGATTGCGACCTTTGGATCGACTCCTCACAGTTTGATCGCATGGCAGGAAAGTGTAAAACAAGTTTTGCTCTGCCTCATTTTAGTCAATCTGTATTGGTGTTGTTCTTGCTGTCTGTTATGGCATATGTCATAGCATAGATTTATGAAACCAAGAGGCTGTATATGAAGGATTTAGGGGGGAAGTATGCGGTTCTTTAAAGGTTACCATAGGTTTTGGAGTTTACTCACACTGTCCTCTATTCCAGGAGCCTGCATCTATGTTGGCCTACACTATATTTCTGAAAACCGCATTCCATAACCCTTCATTTACCATTCTTTTGTATTATTCAGCTTATTTTATAAGATTTTTGTTCCGATTTTCATGGACTATTGCTGAATTTAACAAAAACACCATTCTGTGATTTCTCTGACAGTTTCTGCAACACTTTTCCAGTGGACAGGGACAGTGGTTTATTATGGTAACATAGAATCATATGGTAACATATTATGGAACTCCGTCCAATCACTTTTGCCGCTTAAATCACACTTGATTTTGCATGCTCCATTTTACTCAAAATATCGTGGTTTTCTGTAACTTCTGATCTAATTTCTGTTTTAACTTTTGTTTAGATCTAAACTTACATAATGTCTTATTGTTGAAGACCAATTAATCATTTAAAACATTTAACTTTCAACTTTTGTATATATAAATATCTATACCAATACCTATATTTATGTGTATACGAAACGAGTTAAGGATGACAGAGTCTGCACTTATAAAGTGAGGGGTGGAACTAAGCTGGACGTCACGAACATTTTAAAGGACAAAAATGGGTCAACATGTGTAGAAACCGTTTAGGAGTCAAATAATCTTAATATGCTATCTTTAAGTTTGCAAGTCGGATTTCCCAATGTCCCCTATACTTAAAACAAGATCAAACTGAAGGCTTGTCACGAATCTTGTATGTTACAAATAAAATATTTGATTTCTAAAATATCAAGACTTTTTTATTTCTGCCATGCCATATAGTGGTGTGTTATAGTTAAGAAACATTGGCTTTGTTTTAACAATGGTCTATAGCACTGTTGCGCTCAAAGGATTGTGGTCGATGTGTGGGTCCAACTTGCCCCGAGTCAAGAGGCCAAGCGTTATCATTCAATGAAAACTTGCTTCGCGCTTTTTTTCCCTTTTTTGTCAAATTGTGATACATCTGGCATTACATGTATATTTGCTAAATAATGACATTGCATAAGCAGCTATAGGTTCATGGAGCTTGCATTTAACCTGGTTTTGTTGCTCTAACTCATTCCCAATTCCCAATCTTACGGAATGATGTGATCACATTTTTTCCACTTGTTGCTTTGAATATCATACTCCAGTAAGTTGACGAGAGGCCAACTTCCAACTATCCCAAGTCTCCCCTAAGTGAGAATCTCCACTTACTTTTGTATGTAAGCCTTTAACTTTATAATATGCACATTTTACATGAATATAAATCGAGTTCAAGTAAAGTTTATTTAGTTATGATGATAGAATACTGAATAGTTCTGCAGTAGAGCACGTGTTTCGGATGCGCTGTGCAGAGCGCAACGCCTACAATGACCTTGACATTGATTGAAGCTTGCATGATGGCGGCGCCTTCGAAGAGGCGCGAAGTGGAATGCTGTGGTGCGTTTATAATAATTGCTTTGATAACATTTAAGAATGAAACATAGTTGATTCCGAAGGGGTTGTGATAGCTACCGTTAGTTGTTTCTTTATTTTGTTTTTTCGTAGATGATTGTTTGGTAATAATAATTGGCATGTCAATTAAGGTTGAACAGGGACTGAAAGGAAATTTTTAATGGAAAATCTTTGATATTTATATGGATTTCTTAATATTTCTCAGTATTAAGCAGATTGGTCGTTTTTGGCATTGTTAGGCCATTTCTATGCCACCTACAACAGAAATCTCGGGGGTGTATCGATAGTCTGAAGGTTCATTGGTCTGAAGTTTCATCGGTCCAAAAAATCGTAACATTTTCATCAGTTTTTTTGGTCCGAAGATTCTATAGTGAGCTTTTGGACCAATGAACCCTCAGACTATTGAACCTTCGGACTATTCGATCCTAAGGCCCCGAAATCGGGGTCATGTCGATACTACCCCGCACCAATAATCCCCTTTAATAAATTTTTGTATTATGCGCATTGATACAACCCCACACCAATAGATCCCCGCATCTATACATCCCCTGTAAAATTCCCAAAGTAGGCGCACCGTTACTCCCCCACACTGATACTTCCCCACATCATTGCTTCCCCGCATTGTTACTGTGGGTGAGTATTTGTGCGGGGATGTATCAGTGTGGGGGGGGGGGGGGTATCGGTGCAGGGAAATATAGGGATGTAACCCCGAAATCTCGGCAGTCACCTTGATTGGTTAGAAAACGATTGTCATAAAATCCCACATGATTTAAAAATCGTATGCATAAACTTTAAAACACATAAAGTGAACTTAGACTGCTATACTAGTCTACCACAAAAAGAAAAAAACTATCGGTTTAAGTATTCAAAACAAATGTCATGAAATCTGCATAGGGTTCCATGGAGTCAATAAAATAGAGTTTGCGAAACAAGAAAACTCCCCACATGCATTAAATATTCAAAATGAAATATAGACAGAATCAAATCACATTCAAACTAATTCCACTTTCACAAAATGCCCTACACAAAATTGTCCCATTCATCGTTTGTAAAACAGGGACATTGGTAGAAATCCACGATAAGCGCTTACAAAGTCCTTGACGTTGAGAGAACAGAGTGGCTTTTTTTTTGTAGTTTTCAAGCAAAATTAAGAGGCATTTGGCATTTCTTTTGGTTATTTGAAAGTTTATGATGGAATTTGGTTGAGTTACGTGGTAATTTTTTTTGACTTAATATATAATTTAAGAGATTTGCCATTCCAAGTAGAATTTTGTGAATTTTAAAATGGTGTTCGAGTTATATGTATATTTTGTAAGTTTCTGTGAATTTCTGCTGATTCTCAATGTTCATGTTTGTTCGATATATAATTCTTGGAATTCATGTGCTGCATAAGATTTTTTCTGTTTTTTTTTCACTTGATAAGATTTTAAAGATAATTTGAAATGCTATACTTTTCAGAATCTTCAGAAGCAGTTCCACTGAGTTCGCCTAAAACCTTGTTGACTCTGACTACAAAAATTGTTGCCAAAAATTATACTTGCAAGGAATTGCTGGCTGATGGACTGGTGTTAGATGAGATATTGTTGAAAAATGTAATTTTTTGTGATTGTGACATCTTCCTCTGGAATTACCACTCATACTAGATTTACCTAGAATTGTGATGTGAATTTTAGATTCAAATTAGTTGGAATTGGCTCTATCTGACAAGTGACAATTGCTCCTAAATCTTGGCTTGAAAAGTATCTTGTTTAGGATATTGAATCTTTTAGCAAGGATTTTGAACATAATTAATTTTATGTAATATATATTGTATCAGTAACTTGAAATTAAACACAAAGAGTGACAGAAAGGTAGTCCATTTAGCAAGTGAAAAAATTAAATGAAACTTGCTGAGTTTCTTATTGCTTATTGGTTCTGAACTCTATTTATTTTCTCTTTGTAAAAAGATTGCCAAAGAAGCATTTCCATGTGATGAGAAGGTATTTGAATTGTATGCAAAGCTGGCCACAGATGAAAATACAGTTGCTAAAGACAGAGGTATTGGAGAATTGGAGTTCCCTGATTTAACAGACAATACCTGGAGTGGTGCCCAAAGGATATTGAGTAAAAAGGAAACTTTTATAAGAGAAGCAATTCAAGTGGGTAAGTAAAGTAGAAGACTGGTATTTCATATGTGCAAATTGTTCATTAAAATCCAACAAATTGAAATAGGCCGTTATGATTTTCTTTATTGAATTTGATTTGGATTTTGCTAGAGTTTTGCAGTTGGCATGGTGTTAATGAACTGGGTGTGTTAGGCAACAATGATAAAGCTTTTGATGCATGCTATTTGCAGGGTTCTTGTATACAGCTGTGGTCATATCCGTGGATTCAATGCAAGTGCCAGAGGTTTCCTTTCCATTTTTGCCCGTCAGAACAGAAAGCTGTGTGAAAAGAAGCCGAGTGTCCATCAACTTTGAAAAGCAGACTGTTGTTTCTGTAAATTGTAGTGCTTGTCGCTTGGTATGGTGTCGTCACGTTATAGCAGCCATATTGTTTCGCATTCGCTTTCCTGAGAAGGTAATTTCTGAAAATGAGGATGATTAAGCCTTTTTTCATTAAATCATATTCAATTTTGATCATCATTGGTATCCAGAGACTAAAGTGTTCCACTATTGGACAAAGGCCATGGTATGCTTCTTCTAGTGTATTCTGTCTTGGGCTTTGGATTTCCAATTTTTTTTTTTTTTGCCAGTACTTGTGTAACTCTTTCCTCCATCTTTTACTAGGTTTCCTTGCCATCAATCATCAGCATGCAAATTGATTTACTGTCTGTTGAAATATCATGCAATGAATTCTTAAAGTTATTGTAAATATAATCAGGATTTTTTATGTTTTAAGGTACAGTGTCATGCACCTCTGACTGAGACCTTACTGAATCTGAACAGAGAACAGCTTCAGAAAGTGATACAGTACACAGTACAGTCAGATCCAGCGTCTACACTTTTTAAAGTGTTTCAGCATATGGGTAAATAATATACCACTTATAAGAATATGTGACGGCTCTTTTTTTCTCATTCTAGTAAATTATGTTGCCATATTTTGGACAAGTTGTCAAAGAAATACCAATTTTGTGTCTTTAAAACACCTTGTCTAGTCAAAGCTTTAAGGTACACAGTATACATTTCAATAACATTGAATAAAGGGTTGTATGTAAATTTCAGATGAGATGTATGAATCCACATCTGAGATCAACCAAACATGCGGGGCTCCTGATCCCACCTTTGTACCCCAATTAGAGGGTGACATATTGACTCTGCAGACGCTAGAAAAACTGAAAAGAAATGTTATTTCCAAGCTGAAGGTGTCCGCTGGGCTTTGGAAATACAGATTGCTTCCCGAGTAAGTTTCACTGTGTAACATAACTGGCTGTCTTGTTGATTATATATATATATTTATATTTATATATATTGCTTTAATGACAAATTTTATTTAATTTGGTATTTTACCCAGAGTTTCCATATTGCACTTTTGTATTGCACCTGACTTAACAGACATCTGTTTGGTTGATTTGGATTACCATTTTCCAAGTTCACAGTTCACACATGGGCTTGAAATAAGTTATTAAAAATATGATAGCTTATATCATGGCATTGTTATTGTACCACCAGCGCGACACTACAGTATCATAAGAGAAGCAGCCATTAGATACCGAAACTGAAAACTCTAATTCTGGAACCAAAAGTGCTAGAGACCTATTGTTTGTTGCATTTTGTAGAGCTTTTCAAGAGCAATACTGGGAATGTTGTCTGTTTTTATATAGACTTTTTTCTGCGTAATGTCTGAACATTTGAGTTTTGCCACCTTGTTTCCTGTATGATGTCTGTATATTTGTCAGCTTTGCTGTCTAGTTGTGTTTTCCATGCAGATGCGCTTACTCCAGCTGGTGGTACAATATCTGGAGGCTGTATCGCCTTTGATTCTTTAGTTTTGAAATATGCTTATTTGTTGGAAGGAGCATGGCTGCTAGATACGATCCAGAATGCCTCCTGCTGAGTGACTTGAAGGAACATATTCACCAAGTAGAAGACCTATTGAAAACTGGAGCAACATTATTAGCAACTAAACTGCTCATTCTCCTCACAGAGGCGGTGTTTGAAGGTATGTTTGAATAGTTAATTTTGGTATTTTAGAGTATATTTAAAAAACATCTTTTTGTGATGTTTTAAATTTTTTTGAAATTGAAGATACTGTAAAGTTTTGTGATTTAGTGATAAAACCAAAATGTATTTAAAGGGATAATAACTCTTCGTTTTGGCCAAAAAATGAATTTTCCTGGAGTAAACAACAATTTTCCCATGCTTACCAGTGGTTAATGAATCCATTTTNCTGGAAGTTATACATTTTCAAAGTGTGAACTTGAACTCCCATGGGCCTTATGCTTGTTACACATTTTACTTACATTGGTATTACCTGTTAAGCACAATTTGTTAAATTCAAAGTTAGTCCCTGGTTTTTTTCTAAAAAGTTTGGTTTTTTGTTAAAATCTCTTAAGAGATTATAACAGAGTATAGCCATCAATGGAGGTCACGTGATCTGAAGACAAGCTCAGATATCAGAATAATAGCTATAACTGCTGTTTTCGTCGTAAAGCAGAATATATTATATTTCTATGAGTTATTCACAATGTTTTTATTGTGAAATATAGATTTCATACGAAGAGTTATTATCCCTTTAACTAATGATTATATGATATTTACAGTGGCTGAAGACCCTTCAGTTACAGAGAACAAACTGCTAGTACATTTATGCTACAAGATGGAAGAGCTGTTTTCTGTAGCAGTTATGCTCCCAAACAATGAGCAAAAGCATGATCTTGTAATTGCTGCAAAAGAATTTAGGAGGTACATACATCAGCACAACCTTTTTTCTCCTAATATTTATACTTTTATATTATACTTACCCTTTTGATACCTTTTTTAAGTGCATTATAATATTCAATTTTGCGTGCTACATTCTCCTTTTCAGTAGGTAAGTTATCATAAAGAATTGATATATATATATAAACATGCAAGTTGTGGAAAAGTTTTATTGCTTCATCAGAAAAAAATTTAACTAATTGAGTTTATACTCTTTGAGTTGGTTAATTTTTTTAAACCAGTGAGCCTAAAAAAATTTTAAGGTAGTACCATGAAATAATATCTTTCTTTAAAGGCGTGGGAAGAATGCTCCAATCTTAAAGATAAGAAGAATGGACTGGAATCAGGTTCCTGGTTTGGACATTCCTGTGGCATTGGCACAAGAAGAGCCATCATTACTGTTTACTGATACTCTACAGGCTGCAACGCTGAACTGGGATGTCAAAGGTCTCCAAGATGTTTTGGATGGAAAGGCTAGTTACAGGTACTTCCTTTTTGAGTATGAACAGAATCGGCCTGATTGGTGTACATTTATGGTAATGATTCTCTTTTTTTTTTATTTTTGCACAATTTTGGTGATCCTTGCCTCATATTTAAGTGACAAACTGTATTTCTGTTTTCCTTTTTTTGCTGAGTGGCTTTGTTTGGTAAAAAGGTTTGTTGCTTCTGAAAATCTGCAGGATCGGATAACAATTACAGTAATTTTTTTTTATTTTTGCACAATTTTGGCAATTGATGGTTGCCTCCATAAGTACCAAACAATATTTTTGTTTTAGATTAAATTTATTGAATGGCTTTGTTTATAAAGTGACCTGTTGCTATCTACATTGGCTATGTGCTAGCAATCCATTTATTTGAATTATTTGTTTAATGATGTGAAATAAAGAAAATCTTTCTAAAGTTTTTTTTCCAAAGAAGTAAATGTCTTTTTCTACCTAAGACGCATGGCCTTGTTTAAATGTTGCAATGAAGTTTTTTTTTATGTTTAGTGTCTGTATATTGGTCAGCTTTGCTGTCTAGTTTTGTAACATCAGAGTAACACCTTAGTGAAAGAAAGGACTGTCACTTGAACATTTTACATGTGTTATTGTTTGAAAGGTGCTGATTAAGGAATGATGATTAGCATTTGTAATTTTCTACTAATTAAGTGACCTATTTATTATCCATTTAGAGACACGGTCTATGAAGAACCTATCCCTGTTGTGATGTTAAGGATAAAGACTTTGTTTCTGATTGGTTCTACTGACCAGGCAGAGAGGCTATCTCAAATGGGGATACAAATGCTTTTGGAGATCTCGAACAAGGTACATGTGGGTTGTAAGCTAGAGTACAATGGCCTGAATATCCCATAACCTATGCTTTATTGAGCACCTGATATTCAATTGTTTTTATGCTTTATGTTGTTATCTTTTAATTTTGTTTTTTTTTACCAATAATTGCAGTATTCAACATAATGCAAAGCAATGCAAAGACAATTTTGTTATGATACACACATAAGTTTTATAGATAATTTTTCACCTTTTGCTTAAGGAACAAAATATTATAGCAGTAATTATGTGTAAACTAGAATATTGTCTGCAAAGGTTTTTGCAGCTATAGCTAGGTGACTTGGGTATCTTATCAGTACTATGCAATTTTATATTTGTTAGTATTCCATTATCCCAACGGACTCTCAGCAAAATTTCATACAGCCCCAAAACACTGATGTGAAACGAGTGACAAGATCTATGATGAAGAATGCTGCCTCAGGGAAAAGGACTAAAGCAAGTAAGCTAGGTTATCTTTCTATATGATGGTGACTAAATAATTATGGTAGTTTAAGAATTTAAATAGGAGGTGGAGTTGCTTTATTGTTTTAGTTGTAACGGAAAAGAAACTAGGACAGAGTGCTTTGGGTACATTTTTGGTAAACATTTCATTTTTTTTTTTTTTTGTAATTGATGAATGAATAGTTTTCTCTCTTTCATTTTCAGGATTGACTGTCACCAAAAATAACAGAAAATCTTACAAACAGGGGAGTATGCTCTCATCTTCTCTGGGTCCAATGCAGATTGTACCTTGCCTTCTTAATCTCTGTGAGGGTATTAAAGAACTTGCCCTTGAACATGAGACAGAGCAGAGCAGTTGGTTTCTCATTTGCCATGCCTTTTTGAGAGTATTAGATCTTGCACGCTACATGACCAGAATAATTAGCAGCTTTAGCTATGGCAGAAGCATACATATGCAGAAGTTGGATAACTTCCTTCTCTGGAACTGCCCTGTGATGGCAGAAATTGCAGCAAAGGCCACTGACAGCATTCTGTCTTGTGACATGAGGTGCTGGACCCCTGTTTGTCCACTGTATCTGGTACAGTTCCTGGTGGAAGTTGCAAAGGAAAATCCTCAAAATTATCTCACAGACGTAGAAGAAAGGAGATTGAAGGTGGTCCAACTATGCCAACAGGTGTTGTGCTATGACAACCTCCTAGAAAAGCAAGGGAGCAGGGATGAAGAAAGCATTTTGGACATGATTGCCCATGCATTTAGAGATGGATTGAGAGTACATCAGAAAAGAGAGCAAGAGTGGCTTAAAGAAGTGAGTTTGTGGTAAACGCAACCCATATAAAGTAACACAACATGTTTTTGATTTTTAAATCATGGCCTTTTTGATATGCATAAAGAGAAGTAAGGATTTATTTATACACATGATATTTGGATATGTCCATTTTTTATTATGTACAGACACAGATGTGTCTGTACATATTGCCATCACCTGCGTCTGTCGTCGCCGATGCCGATGCCGTCGCCGGCGCCGTGCACTTTCCTTGTAAACACGATAAGTGGAGGGCAGTTTTACTTTTTGGCTTAATATTTACAGAGCTGATGAATATTCATAAAACGCAGGTCAAGTTCGAAAATCGGCATGATCGGGTCATTTTAAGGGAAGTTATGCTGTTTTTTCACTTTTTTCAGCATATATGCAACCCTGTAAACACATTTTAAGGAAAACCGTTAGGCCTGTTGTCATGAAACTCACAGAAGTAATCAGTCTTATGAAAACGCAGGTCAAGTTCAAAAATCGGCATGATCGGGCCACTGCTTTAGTAGTTATGCTGTTTTTTTCATTTTTCAGCATATATGAAACACTGTAAACACAATATAAGAAAAACAGATAGGCCAATTGTCATTAAACTCACAGGAGTGGTCAATCTTATTAAAATGCAGGTTGAGTTCGAAAATTAGCATAATCGGGGCATTATTTTAGAAGTTATGCTGTTTTTTCACATTTCCTCAGATTCAACTCTTAGGCATGTTAACA